GATCACGTGGTTGGAGTGAAGAAAATCCAGTCCTTGCAGGCACTGAGAGAGAAAAGAGAACCAGGGGGGCAAAAAGTAGTGCTGTGAGTTCATCGCACAAGAAAGGAAACAGCTGTGGAAGGTTCCCTTTGCAGGGGAATGGGGAGGAATGGCAGAACACAGCGCCATTGAGAGCAAGAGCCTGCTGCTCCCACAGGAGGAAAGGCATGTCAGCTTTTGAAAGAGCACCAGCAACTGCTGTTGTAGACTGTCCCCTGCAAAGCAGCCAGGGTGACGGCAGCTGCAGTGCATATGCTCAGTAGCAAACAGCTATTGGGCTGCACTGCTATCCTTTTCAGCTGAGGAATAAAAGAAATTAGTCTCTTTTTTTCTTTCCTGTTTGTTTCAAATCCTGCCACCACACCTTTGCTTTAGAGACAAGGAATGTAGTGCAGACAGGCCAAAGTTTAGCTAGGCAAGGTGGAGAAGTGCAAATGCCAATCTGAGAGACAGAGCTATAATACAAGAGCAGGGGATAAGTGGACAGGAAGTGAGTCCAGTGAGTGTAGGGGCACTGGCAGACAGTTCCCTTGAGATGCTTTTGCTTGCCCATAGCTGAGCAGCAGCACAGAAACCAAGCCTGGCCCATGAAATCCCTCCCGTTCTGAGCCCCTGTTTCCCAGACAATGCAGCTCAAGGCCTTGGAAGCACAGATGGGATCCCTGACCTCCCGACTGACAGCTGCAATCTCTCCTTCAGACATTTGAATCTCGTCGATGAGATCTCTCAGAGTGCCTCCGTCCATGTACTCCATCACCAGCCAGAGTTCCTCATGCACAAGGTAGCCAAAAAAAGGAAACAAGGCCATGCAGGTGAACATGCACGGCTAGGTTGGTTTTTGCTTGAGTCTTGTTTCTGGGTCCCTTGGAGACAAGGGCAGAAGAAAAGGAATAGACATTGCCTCTAGGCTGTGCAGTGTTTGCAGTCTGTGCTGTCTCAAGGAGAAAGGCAGTTTAGGAAGAGCCCAGATAAAAAACCTGTCACGCATGGCATTTCTGGAAATAAGCACCTAGTCTTCCTGGCATGCACAGCAATGGGAAAGAGGGGCAACAATGCAAGGGCAATCCTCTCTTGGATGGTTCATCAGCATTTAAGAAACTTGAAAAACTCAAGCCCAAAGAACTGTGGAGGCGATGAACTTACAAGGTATTGAATTCTTAAGATAGGGCTGATGCAGGTTTTTGAACAATTTTCAGTCTGCATTTGCCAGGGTGGATTCATGCACACAAAATGCAGTCTCTTCCCATCCATTGGAGATAAGTAGAGAAATAATCATTAACAACTCTATTTCCTGCCACTGACCAAAGTGGGTTTTTAAGCTCTCATGCCTGTAGTATGTAAACAAACATTCAAGGGTTAGGACCGTGACCACTCACCTGGCTAAGTAATTCACGATCCTGGGACTCCTATTGCTCTCCATGATCCTGATTTCATTCATGGTTAGTATCTTCCTACTCACTCCTTGCACATTTATTTTCTTGATGGCCACCTCAAATGACATTGAAAAGGAGTAACTTGAGAAAATTGGTAGCATGAGACCACAACACACATGGAGCAAGTGATTTTGGAATGGCACAGCCAAGCTGTGCCAAAGTGCCTTGTGATTAGACCTGGTCATTGGAGTAATTAGGGAGTGACATTCCAACAGCCCATTTCTCTGCTCCCTTGGGGGCCAGTTACAGGACACATGGCCACTGGCAATTTGCCTTGTCCACTTGGTAACAAAGGTGTATCAGCGATCACCCACCAAGCTCTGACCACTCTCTGCTGCTCTGCTTGGATTCAAAAGAAGGAATGGGTGCCTTGGTTCTCTGTGGATACATCCTGGGCTATGGGTAGGGCTCAGGGCTTTTAGGAACATCTTGCAGATCTCTCCCTACGTGTGGCTCCCAAGTGCAGCACTGCATGTGGCTGAGGAACTACCAGGAGCATGGAGATGTATTTGCTGGCAGCCAGAAATGAGAATTCAGGACTCTGAAGCTGTAGCCCCAAAAAGCAGTGAGGTGCTCTAAGACACCACCTTTGTTTTAGCAATTGAGAGCGTGTGGGCGCGTCCTTCTCTGAAAGGAACCGCTGCCCTCCTTGTCTTCCTACGGGCAGCTGAGGAGGACAAAGCCTGTTCCAAGTGCAATTTGCAGGCTGGCACCAGTCTGTGCTTCTTGTGCCTTTTCAGCACAGCTCTCCTCAAAGCTCCAGCCACAGCTGTCAGCAGTGGGGAAAGGCCTGGAGAGCAGCAGAGGCTGCAGGGGCTGTTGACATTTACCTCTCCTCCTGTGGCAGTGTCAAGTGCTCTGGAAAGCTCTCCAAAACCCCTAGAAACAAAACAGCAGCAAAGAAAGGAGAAGCCATTTAGATCTTGCACTGAAAGCCAGTCCAGACATGAAGAGACCCTCCCTTTGCCCCCCGAAGTAATCCACATTAGCTCTGTCGAATGGAGGGGTCAGGGAGGTCCTTCGAGACCAAGAAAAGGCCAAAAAGGTGCTGCTTCTTCCTCCGGGTAACGGAGGATGTTTATTCTGGCTGGATTCCAGAGGAGAGAAGAGACTGGGTTTCTCCTTCCCAAACTTTTTCAAACCTCGGGAGAGGGGCGGGGAAACATATAATACCAACCAGTGGGATAACATTTCAGGGACAGGGAGGGGAGGGGAAAGACACGTCACAGAGAAACAAAGTAACTCATAGAAATATGCACCACCACCCACACAGGAGAGCTCTGCTGTAAATGCCTAAAAGCTGCAGGTTGCAGGAGGGGTCTGCCAGAAGGCAGATGATGCATTTTCCCCTCAAGTGCCTGGGCACTGGGCCTGTTCCTGAAGCCTTGGGATTTACTGCCTCAGCTCCAAAAGGCAGCTTATTCCTTCATCTCGGGTGTCAGCTTCTAAACTGTGCAATTCTAATCCTGAGCATGGAGTATTTCCTTTAGCAAACTCTTGGAGAGAAATGTTCCTGAGAACTGTTATCTGACAGCTCTCATCGGGGGTAGGTTGTGCTTTCAGGCAAGCAAGATTCTTCTCCTTTCATTAGTGTGGCCACATGATTTGGAGACATCCAAAAATGCTGAGGAAATGAATCCTGAGCTGTCCCACACTTGAGAGACAAGCAGATTTCCCAGGTTCTGTTCCTTGCTGCAGGCAAGACCTTGGCAGCATGGAGATGTCTTTGACAATGCCTTCTGAGCACACTTGACAAATTCTGGCCAGTACTGAGAGATGGGGCAGACTAAGCCTGCTGTCTAAACATGTGGACAACCTGTCTGACTTCCCACTTGATGGATATTCCCCCAGTGAAACACCTGGCCCATGGCTGTGTAGAAGTGACTGTGGTTGGACTCACCCACTGCCAAGACTTTCCAGTTCAATGTATTTTGTGATGGGATTTTCCTTGTTCACCATTCTCCCTGAGGGAAACAAAATGCAAGATGCTCACTTTCAGGCAGAGATCCGAACTTGCAGGAGATGCCAAAGGCAGCCCCGCTGTCTGGGGCTCGGAACCCTCTGTGGTCAGCTGGGCAGCAAGCACAGCAGCAACAAGACAGGCAGTTGTGCAGTACAAATGGGCAGCAGAGAGACTGATTTTGTCCAGTCCTTGGAAGGAAATGAAGCGCAGAGAGCACAGCAGGGCACAGCACAAGGCTGGCAAAGGCCAAGCATGAGCACTGACAAGCAATGGCAAGAAGACACAGCCAGCCTGAGCCCCTGACAAGCTGTGGCCCCTGTTCAGGACACACCAGCATTGCCTTGGAGATCAGACACAGCCAGGTGCAGATCAAGGCCCTTTTGTGTCCCAGCAGGTGAAGGTAGACACCAAATCAGCTGGGATCTTTTCTCAGCCCCACCAGGTCTTTTCTGAGAGCACAGCACTGGCAGCTGTCATGGGCAAGAAGCAGATTAAATGGGTTGTGCTGCAGAATCACAAAGGGCTTGATGTGTTTTCCCAGAGACTGATCTGAGCAGGGCTTGGGCCAATAGGTAGGATTCTGAGAGTCATGGGAATGGCTGGGAATCAGGTATGAAAAAGTGCCATGGATCTGAGGAATACACAGCACAGGGGCTGCAGGCTCGCTCCTGAGAAATGCCTGCAGTGCTGTTTTATCTGATCACACCACGTGGATGTGTCTCTTGGACACATCTTTATAAAAATAAAACTAGGATATTAATTACAGATTGTTATACAAGTATCTGTTTCTTCATTGTGGGCACAATGAAAACATCTCTTGCTCTCTGTTTCTGCTGTCACCTGATGTTCTTTCAAAGGAGTCCTCACTGACAAAAATACAGCATTCTCATAAAAACCTTGTAGATGTAGTAGAGGCAATAAAAACAGTCCTAAAAATGACAGCAGTAAGACACATGGGGCAGAACAGCTCTTTCAGGATGGAGAAAAAACAAACTCTACCAAAAAACCCCAAAACCAAAACAAAAATCTATAAAAAACAGCACACAGAAAACAGAACCACAACAAAAAGACAAAACCCCAAAACCAATCAATATCTCTGAAGTCTTTTGGTTCTGACGACAGGTGGGAAGTCTGGAGTCTAAGGAGAATCTAGGAATCAAATATCTGTTCAGTTTGGCCACTAGCACACAGGACTTGCATAGATCATTTGCTGGGCCACAGCCTTCTGCTGATCCAAGAACAATTCCTGCTTCTGCCTTTAGTGGCAAGGGAATGCCAGGCAAAGCCGAGCCAGTCCAAGCTGCCCTCAGAGGCAGCAGGAACAGCCAGAGCGCTCTCTCGCTGCCTCAGAGCACAGCAGTTCCTGTGGGGAGTCCTAAATGTCTCTGGGACACCAAAGTGAGGAGGATCATTTGCTACAGCTCTGCTGGCACGTGCACACAATACACTGTCCCTCAGACAAGAAATACACCAGACGTACTCAGTTGCTCCACGAAGTCTCCCTGGCTCTCCTGGAGCTGAGCAGCAGATGTGTCACTGCTGGAAATGGACAAACTGCCCCGGCTCCACTGCTCAGCTTGGGGAACAAAGGCTCCTTTAGATGCTGCTGCTGCTGCTGCTGCAGCAGATTGAATGGAAGAGCCTGTGTAGATCTGCGAGAAGAAAGGAGTTTGTGTCAGAAAGCTGGCTGGCAGAGATTACCCCGAGTTCCCTTTTCAAATGCAAGCCCTTAGGAAGTTGCTGTTAGCCACATGCAAAGCTCATCAACTGGATTTTTTGGATGCCCGCTTCTGGAACCAAATGGTCAAAACCCAAGGTTGGTTTTAATCAAGTTGATGGCCAGTTTCATATTCCATTTTCCTGGATTTTCTCAAGGATGACTGCAACAATGACCATTCCACTTCCTCCCAAGGATCCCTTTCCCCCTCCAAGGGCTGCAGACACATTTGCAGCTCCTTGTTCTAATGTTGGAGCTCCTCCCCCTCAGTCCTCTTTTCCTGCACCATCTTCAGAAGGTGCTCAGCCTGCAGCACTTGTGCTTGGGACAGTACCTGTGCCTCCCGCCGACCTTGGGGCTCTTCATCAGCAGGCATTTGCTGGAAGCCTTCGCAGGCTGCCAGGTGAGATATCAACACGTCCACCTCAAGTCAAAGAGAACAAAGCAGTCAGAGACCACAGCTTGTCCCTGTGTGCCAAGGCTCATTGACTGTGAGCAAAGGGAAAGAGCAGGACAGCAGCAGATTCACCAAGGGATACAGACAGCTTGCAGCTTGTATTCCAAATCTGTCTGGGGGACTGTGTTCACTTGCAAAAAGCCCTGAAGAAACAAGGAGAGCAGGAGCAGGCCAGCAGGAATCCCTTGAGATGAGTGCTGGCAAAAGGGGCAAATGACTGGTGCCACTGTCCAGGGCAGCAGCTGAGATTGAGCACAGCAGGAAATGTCCTTCCAAGCAGCTGGGATAGACACTACAGCAGGATGGCACTGAGAGGCATCAGCCCAGCCCCCTGCTGCTCTGCAGAGGAAAGGCAAGAAGGGCAGAAAGCACCAGACTGCAGTGACTGCTGTGCCTATCGCTCTTTCACTCACTCGATTTTCTAGAGCCTCTTGCTGCTGAGCGAGGAGATGGAATTTCTCTTCGATGATTCTTCCTTTCTTCCTCCAGCCTGTTCTCCCTTGCCCTGATCCTAGCCTCAGTTTCCTGCAGCTCTGCCAGAAGCTCCTCCTCGGAGGCCTGTGAAGAATGACAGAGAGGAATTTCCATGAGTGGAGTGTCTGCCACTCTTTCACTCACCTGATTTTGTTGATTTCCTCTCTGCCCATGGAGATTCATCTCCTCCTGGATGTTTCTGTCTTCCTCAGGCCTCCTCTTCACTGCCATGATGGCCCTCGGAGCTTCGGGCAGCTCTGCCTGGGGCTCTGCCTTGATGTTCTGTACACACAAATGGAGAGCAAGTGCCTGGGAGCTGCCATCAGGCTCAGCTTCTTCCTCAGTCTCAGCCTCAAAATCACACTCATTCAGTCACTTCTTTCTGCTTCCCTACCCACCTCTGCTTCCACTGTAACCTCCTGTCCCGCTGCTGATCTCTGCAGAGGCTCTTTGCTTTCAGGGCCTCTGGCACTCGTGGCCTGCTCAGTCCCAAGAGCTGCGTTTTATGCCCCTCTTCCTGCCCTTCACTCTGTCCCCTGCTGAGTCAGGCTTACCTGGCCATTCTCCAGTGGCTCTTCCACCTGCTGCCCCAGCTGCTCTTCCTGCTCTTGGGCTGGGAACAGCTCTCCCTCAGGCTGGCACGGCCTCCCTGAGAAAACAATCTGCTCCTGCTCTTTCTCTGGAAGGACCTGTAGAGAAAGCAAGAGAAGATGGGCTTCAACTTCTCATCCAACATTTGTGGGCCAAGACTCAAAGACTGATGGGCTCCCACGTTCCCAAAGCTCTGTGCTGCTGCTCTCCTGCCTTGTTCTCTGCCCGTGGGGAAGCACAGATTCCAAAGTGACCCTGGCAGTGCAATCAGGGCCCATCTGGCACTGAATCTCCAACAGACTCTTGGGCAGCTGACAGGAAATGTGGGGCATTTCTCAAGGGCCTCCCTCCCCTTCTGCTGTGTCCTGCTTGTCTCTCCATAGTGACTGACAGCCAGCCCTGTCCCACAGCTCCATCCTGGCTCTGCAGGGGCTTCCTGGGTGAGCTCAGCCCTTGGGAGAGACACTGCTGGAGTTCATGTTCTTTTCAGGCCTGCCCTGCCACTCCTGCCCTTGACATCTACACTCTTGTTAGAAATCCTGCTCATTCAGGAGACAAGGATGTGTGCAATTGGATCCTCTGCTGCAGGTCAGAGAGCCTCTATGGCCACCTCAGGATATGGAAGAGGACCAAGGTGTTTCTCCTCCCTCTTTTGTCAGCTGAGAATTCTGAGTGGCACTGACAGAGATCCTCAAAAGGCCCCACCAACAAATTAATTGACACACCCCTAGGGATGCCAATGAAGGAAGCCATGGGTCATGTAATGCATGTATGACCAAAGTCACCAAAAACCACCTAAACCACCTAAACCATGGAATTGTCCCACCTCACTAGGACAGGCAGAAATTTATAGGTTAAACAGGGAGTGTCAGGACAGAAGAGGCAGGAGGAGGAAAACAGCTCTGAGGAGAAAAAACAACCATCTCTAAAGGGGTTCTTAGCAACACAAGACAGCACTCAAGGACTTGCAGCTTTGCCCCCACACTAGGCTCCAATGCAGTTTCCAAAGCTGCAGACTTCACCACAAAACGTATCAAGAGAAACTTGCCACTTGTGGATTTTGCCTCAGAAGAAGGGTTCAGAACTACACAGTTTGTTTCTTTGGCCACACAGGACAAGAATGGCCGGCCACAGCTTCATGGACAACACAATCATCTCCTTGCAGCTTATCAAAAGCCAAAAGACAGGTGGCCTAAAAGACTCTGCAGAAGTGAAGAATTACTCCAGAAAACTGCAGAACACTTCTCCAGGTCATGCAGAAGTTTCCAAAAAGGGACAGCAAACAAAGCAAGCCCTGTGAGCCCCAGAAATGCCGTGTGAGCCCTTGGCCATGGCTTGGCAGAAGCCAAGAGACAGAGCTTCCCTGAGCCAAGCAGCCAGCTGCTCACCCGCAGGCAGCAGCGCTTTGGGGCCTCAGCACGACGGCTCAAAGCCCAATTTCCAGCTGCCACGGGATGGGGGAATGGCTGGGTGCTGGCAGGACTCCAGCACTCAGCATCCTCAGCCAGCAAC